CCTCCCCGGGCCGCCCCGGGGGCGCCGGTCCCGATCCCGATCCCGGAGCCGCCGCTCTGCGCCCCGCTGTGCTGCCCCCGAGCCGCGGGCACCGCGCTCGTCCGTCCCTGCAGCGGGACCCAAACCCGAGGGGTTTTCCCCATTTTCCCCCAAGAGCGTTGACCCCCCAAGAGTGATGACACCATGAGATCGGTTTTGCCCCTGCAACATCAGCTGTCCCTGCACCGGCTCAGCCAGAGCAAAGCGATGAACACAGGCACTGTGGGATGCACCACCCTCTTCCCCACAGGCGACCCAAAACCGGTGCGTTGGGGTCAAGCGAAACTTTGGGGTTCATGGAGAGTTTCAGTCACGTTAGGCAAAGGTTTTCAGCCTTTGCCCACAACCAACCCCATCGCTTGCCTGGCCATGCAAGGCTCTGAGGCTGGGGGCTGATCAAGAACCGGTGCAACAGCTCTCCGCAGCTGCATAATTACAGTCAGTCAATGGCTATGAAAAGGTAATTCCTTCGAATTTACAGAAAGAAGTGGGAAACTTCACCTTTTCCTTCCTGAGCGGTTGAGTCGAAGTAAGACAGTTGTTGCTGCTGGCTTTGCCCCGGATCATTACTCTTCAGAGTGAACAGCCAGCTGGTAACCACAGACAGCACCCAACTCTGTGCGCTTTCGCTGCAGCTGCTCTGCAAGCTCGAGGTGATGCTGCAGCAACAGATGTAGAACTGGGTGTAGAGCTTTCTGGTGCGATTTCTCCCTTTTCAAAAAAAGTATCATCAAGTTTGTTCAGGGGCAGATTTTGGGAGCAATGAGCACATTGAGGCATGTTGGAAAGGCTCCAGCTTTCCTGGAAATCATCATAAATTTCACAAAACTGGGGATCTGCACAGATAGCGGCAGTGCAAAGGGCTCTGGTGTCTGGATGCGGTGGGTGCCCCCTCTCCCCGTACTGCGCTGCCCACCCTGCAGCACCTTCAGGTCCCTTCGCCCCAGCATCTCCTGGAGCTTTTGTGGCTGCTGAGCAGCTCCTGAGCTCGCCGAGTGCTGAGGCCTCTGGCTGCGGGTGCAGTGTGGGAGCAATGCAGGGAGCGATGCCAGGAGGAAGGCCGGGAGCAATGCGTGAGCAATGCCCGGAGCAATGCCGGGAGAAATGCAGGAGCGATTCCCAGAGCAATGCAGTGAGCAATGCACGAGCAATGTCCACAGCCATGTGGGAGCAATGCTGGAAGTAACGTGGGAGCAGCGCTGGCAGCAACCTGGGAGCAGCGTCGGGAGCAGTGCAGGAGCAAGTTTGGGAGCAAAGCTGGGAGGTCATCAAAGGCACGTGAGGCCACAGACGTGTTCCATCTTTTGCTCCATTAGCCCATGGGAGATGCTCCCAACTGCAGCCAAAGATGGAAAACATTCAGAAAAATATCCATAACGTCGAAGCTCAAAACCTGCGTGAGGAAGGATCCGTAAACCCTGAGCGGGAGGAACCAAAGTGATCAAAGATATCCGAAAGTGCCCACATCTGGGCACAAGCAAAAACCCAGACGTGAAAAAATTCCTGAAAACCAGATGATTAATTCCTCCCTGTTCCAGGGCCAGCACGTTACATACACACAAAGGAGTCATAAAAATTCCAGGATGATGGAACAAAACCCTTGCAGAGCGCCCCAGATAGAATGTAACCCTCCTGGTGGCAGCAGGAGCTTGACTTGGGCCAGCTCCAATGCACAGCACCGGCTCTGATGTTCTCCCTGGAGCCCAAGGGCTGCGGAATGGCACCCGGCACAGCATCCATGTACCAGAAGCAGCTCTCACTACCAGGGAAAAGACAGTGGGTCCAGCTGGGTCCAACCCTCCCGGTGGGATCCCAGGGTCCTGTTGGAGCTGCTG